CTACGAATATCCATGATCTAATGATTGGTAAACACTTGAAATTTTTAACATTATTTAACAATGTACACAACATCACAGACAAATTGAAATTTTTGAAGTAGTGCGTGGCACATCCGGTGTGCATTTACCGTTACCTGAAATATTTGCAATTGTTATAACTCGCAAAGTTTGCAATTGTCATCCTAGAAATTTTGTATGAAAGTAGATCACAGCTTAGGACAATTTGTGATAAGATTACAGTTGTATGCGTTCTTTACTTTAAAAAAGGGAACAGGTTTAACAATTTTAAAAATTTTCATTTTTGAACTTTACCGTTAATGACCTTGACCTTTGCATGGTCAAAGGTCATTGATCTAAGATGACCATTCTTACTTTGATTTTTGATGTGCATCATATACTTCCGGTTTTACAGACATCCGAAAACAGCAATTTTCGAAACTTCATAGGCTTATATTACTTTTATTTAACCTTTGTTGACCTTTTGACCTGAACAAAGGTTGTTGCCCATTACGAGATATATCCGATGATATTTTCACTTTTGTCGTGCTCCGTTAACTTCCGGTTCTACAGCCAATTGAAAATCGCGATTTTTAACTTTAAAAAAGGTCTATCACGAGACCTAATTTACATAAACGAAAATTTATCTTTTGTCCTTATTACACGCAATCTATTCTTTCAAATGATATATAACACTTGGTATTTTGATTAAAATTGAAGTTGAAAATTTTGTATTGACTTCTATAGTAACTTTGCGTAATTTTAACGGTTTCTATAATCCACCGACAGTCACTGTTGCCTTAAAAAAAACTTTTAACTACGAATATCTCATGATCTAATGATTGTAAACACTTGAAATTTTGAACATTATTTAACATTGTACACATTATTACAGACAACACAAAATTTTTGCAGTGGGCGTGGCAAATCAGGGTTACTTTTACCTTTACCATAAATAATTCAAATTGTTATAACTCGAAAAGTTTGCATTTTTCAGCATCGAAATTTTACAAAAAATTAAAGCACTATTTGGGACAATATCTAATAGAGTTACAGTTTGTTTAGGCCTTTTACTTTAAAAAAAGGAATAGGATTTACAATTTATAAAATTTTGATATTTTGACCATTTACATGCATAATCTTGGTCTTTGGAAGGTCAAAGGTTATTGATCTACGATGTCCATTCATACTTTTATCTTTGATGTCCGACATATATTTTCGCTTTTACAAACGTCCCGAAACAGCAATTTTCAACACTTTTAAGGCTTATATTCTCTTTTATTTGACCTCTGTTGACCTCTAGGCCGAAACACAAATTATTGTACCTTTCCAAAAATATTTTCATTTTTGTTGTGCGAATTGGACTTTTAACTTTACAGCTATTTGAAAATTCGACTTTTTACTACCGAATGTTAACACCTTTTAGTACCGAATGGTATCAAATCCATGCGTCTTTTCACTACCGAACTTTATACGGTTTAAACAATTTTTTTTACTATTGAATGTGTACATGCTTTTCTTTCCGGTAAGCTATTTCATTTTGACTTTAAAATGCAACGTGTTATCGATGTATCAGGTTGGATGTGCACTGCTTCGGTACCGTTATAACGGTTCTAGTCATATCATTATGTTCATATTATTGCATATAATTAAGAGTTTAAACCAATCATAAATGTCCCTGTATGTACAGTCTTGATAAACCAAAAAAAAAAGATTTTTTGACCTTTCTTGATTGGTCA